ATATATAATATTATAGTTATTTAGTTGTATTTAAATAGTAATTATAATAATTCTTCAACCCCCTTTTTCGAAAAATATTCATTTCAAATTAAAAAAGTGAAATAATTTTTAATTTATTTGAATTAAAATAACAATTGCCTATGTACTATTTTTTTTAAAAAACTTATTTGGTGTTAAAAAAAATAATTGAGTTTCCTGAACACTTGATAAAGTATAAAATTAAGCGACAGAATAAGTGGCCATTCAGAACCTTATCTCAGTAGTGTAGATCAGGGAATAGTCAGCCTATATGAAAGTTGAATAATAGAGGTCAATGTTTAATCAGCCAAAAAGTATGAAAATCCCATAAAACAAATTTAATAACATATTTCCTACAAGGTTATCTACAGCATTAAATAAAAAGAACATATTTTTTTTTTTTTTTTTGCATAACTAATATAAAAAGAAATGATTTTTCTCACTTTTTAATCGAATTTCTATCTATATAAAAAAAAAAAATATCATCACATCAGAAGATACACAGATCATAAAACTTTCCTTGCGTATTATAGAGGAAAGTAAAAAATGAAAATATAGTTGTAAAAAATGTTTAAAAAAAAAAAAAAATTGTGTAAATAAATTTAATTGGTTTATAAATTCGAAAAATTGACTTTCATATTTTTCTTTGCTCTACTTCCGGTGAACGCAAATATTTTTTTTTTTATGCATTGTTTGATCATTTATGAAGCGATATTGAATGAAGAGAGAGTGAGAAGGAAAGAAGTAAAGAGAATAGAGGTTGTCTGACCAAACACGGTGATTTCTACTTAAACTGTTCATTCAATACAAAAAAAAGGCAAGCGATATCAGAGTTCAATTTTCCCTTAATTAATTAATTAATTAATTAAGAAATTGTTTTCTTAATTATACAATTTTTTAATTATTTCTATTTATTTTATTCTTTATGTTCTATTTTATCGTTATAATTAAATTCTTAACTTATAAAAATTAAAGAATATTCTCATGAAAAAAATAAACTCTTTTATCTATTCATATATATATATATATATATATATATATATATATATATATATATAAAGCAGTTATGTTAGCAATTCACATAAACGAAAATTGACATTTAAAATTTATTTTATAATTTAAATTTAAATTACTTTAAATTGACACCATAAAGTGAATCAAATAAAATAAAGTTAAATCAATATTTAATTAAATAAATAAAAATTTTAGTAAAAAGAATTCTATTTGTACCAAATTAATATAATATTAAAAAATAAATTTTAAGAAAAAATATTTAACATTAAATATGATATTTTAAATAAATATTTCTAAATAGAAATGAAAATAATTAATTAATTATTAATTAAAGAAAAAATATATGAAAAAATTATTTACTGTTGAGAAACAATTGCCATTTTTTTTCTAGTAAAATAGAAAAAAAAAGAGAAAGTTTATTTCTATTGACATTGCGCAGATATATATATAGGCGTATTAGAAGAAATAATTTGGACGACGCTCGGGTTAAATTGCTTGAAGTAAGAGCCACAATTGTTCTTCAAATGATTAATCAGCCGGAAGGTGCCTATTGGATTGGTTTGGTTGGTTATCTGCCAGTTTATCAACCCCTACGAACCATCGACCTTTACTGATTCTATATAGCATATATATATATACCGTCGATTTCACCTTAAAATTGCTTCCGATTTCATTTTAAAATCATTTTTTTTTATTTTCATAATTTTCAAACAAATTTTTAATTTTTTTTTCTTTAAAAATTATAATTTTTGTAAGATAAAATAAATATAATATATACACTGAAAAAAAAAATTTATTTGATTCAAATACCGGTGTATTTGGTTATTATCAAATAAATATTTACTTGATTCAAATATTTCTTATTTGAATCAAATATTTCAGTATTTGAAGCAAATATCATTTATTTGATTCAAATAAGAAATATTTGATTCAAGTAAATATTTATTTGATAATAACCAAATACACCGGTATTTGGATCAAATAAATTTTTTTTTCAGTGTAAATAAAAATAATAAATATTAATATAAAATATTAAAATAAATATAGAATAAGAAAATAAAAAAAAAATGAGTTGAATAGAGAGGAAAATTAATTAATTTAGATTTTGAATTAACCGTGTCACTCCACCTTTTATGATAGACTTTAATTTTCAAACTCGTGAACAATTTTGTGCATTTGCAAAATCGTGGATAAAAAGAAAGTTGGACTGTAGTTAGAATTAAATAGCATACGAATGGTACTGTTTAAATACTTGTCTGAATATTGTACTTCTTTCTCTCTCACTCTCACTCTTTCTCCCTCTAAGGCATCATTAACTTTCACATCACTGAGCGATCTTCTGGCTACGCTCAGTCCATTCGACCTAACGTTTTAATTTCTCTCTCTCTCTCTCTCTCTCTTTCCCTTACTCATTTGACATGTCTCGAAAAAAATTCTATTTTCGGGGGACTCTTATTACTTCCTTTTTTTGCCTCTCAAGCTGCGCACAGCATTCTCAGTAATGGAATGAGACTATCTTTCTATACGAGCGTCAGGAAAAAAGTGTTAAGAAAAAAAAGAAGCAGGTCGAAATTGTGGATTCACCGCAATCAAGGCATTTTAAATGAAAGGACTTATGATAATCCTTTTTTTGTATGTATATATATATGTATTCGTAGAGGAGGGAATTTAATAAACGAGAAAGGATAAAATGGAAAATGTATATAATTAAACTCGAAAAACTATAAATGTGTATATCGCAGATTTTTATACAAAAAAAAAAAGCATTACGCTAAATTATTATTATATTCTCGAGAAATTTAAACACAAAGTATTTTAAAAATTCAGAAACAATATAAAGAAATTTGGTATCAGAAATTTTATAATTATTTGATTAATTATAAAAATTTACTTAAACCAAATAATTTTTATTTGAATTAAATAAACTGTATTTGAATCAATAGTTTTTATATTTGAAACAAATACAATTTAATTGACTCATAATAATTATTATAATAATACAAATAAATATTTATTTGATATATTATTTTTGAATCAAATAAATTTTTTCCCCAATAAGAATTGTTGTTTAAAAACAAAAATAAATAATAATTAAAAATTATAATAAAAAAATTCAGAATTTGAAAGATATGAATTTTTTTTACAAGTTGATAAAATATTTTCTAATCAAAATATGAAGATTAATAAATAAATTATAATCCTTAATTAGAACCTTAAATGCGGTTTTCATTGAATGTAGTTGTAACGACCAACCTATGTGTCTGAATTCTAATTAGGGTCCGAGCATAAATTGCATAAACGTTCATGGTGGGTATAGGGAGTGGTCAACATTAACTTTACGATGATAGTTATATAAAGATATAGAAGGGGGAACTTGGCAAAAGTTATATATATATTTATCAAAAAAAACAAGAGCCAAAAATTTCAAAGAAATTTTTTTTTTTACCAATAACTTATTTATCAATACGAAAAAAAAATCAGAAATCTTTTTTTGTTGGAAAATTTTTTTTTTTAAATAGAAACAACAGAATTTAGTCAGACGAATTATTGAAGTTATATTAGTGAAAATAATTAAAAATTTAGTTAAAATGCTTCTAAATTGGAAATAAGTTGTCTATAATTTAGTGAAAAACACCGTGTTTGGTCAGACAGGTCGATGTTATCATTTCGCTCGCAAACAATCGGTGCTACTAAGTAGAAGAGACAATGTTAGGTCAGACATTACTTGAATATGGATTATTCTCTATGAAACTGTACATTATTTCTAATTAGAAAATATATACAAGATTGTTTGATACCAAAAGATGTTGAAAATTAATTGACTAAAAATAATTTAAAAAATTAATATCATCAATTTTATTAGAGCAGATTGAAATAAAATCAAAAAAAAATTTCAAAGTAAGTAATAATGGACCCTATTGAGATGAAAGGAAAAGAATGAAAAATATTTTCACAAAGTTATAACCCAGTCAGGTGACATTGTCCGAATGAAAATAGAAAACACAATCGTATATCTAATATGAATGATTTGAAACAATCGAGAGAGATTTCTTTATTATCTTCTCATAAATATGTATAAGATAATAAGTATAATTTCGGTTCAATCTGATAAATTATTATTATTATTATTATTATTATTATTATTATTAAACTTTTACGAATACTTAAAAATTTCTTCTTTTTTCAATAATTTTAATAAAAAAAAATTATTTATTACAAATAAAAATATTTGAATCAATTAAATGTTTTTTTTTCTGCAAACAAAGATTCAAAATAATTTATTTATACTTGCTAAGAATATATACCCGAATTCATGAATTTATTTTAAGATTTCATTTAATAATGCTAATTGAGTGGGGCATTTCCGCTTTAATATCAAATAAACTTTGACCTGTTTCCTCTAGAGAAACTCTGCTTAAAATATCATTAGAATCAAACTGGATTCTGGTCAGATTTTCGGTTTGCTGAAATTCCCTCGAGCACTCACGCGGGGGACGTACATATATATATATATATAGTATATAGGAAATTCATTGAGTGATTTCAATATAAATCTGGTCAAATGCCAGTTATAAATTAGGGTCGAAAATTTTCGAGTGCAAATCAATTTCAAATCAAATTTTCAACATATAACAAAATTGCATCTATTTTCGACGTTTGGAAATAAAAATTAAATTTTTATTAACATTTTTTTGGAAATATTTTTTCGAAAAAAAAAAAAATTTTTATATACACAAAGTTATAACTCGCTGAAAAAAAGAGAGCTATTAAAAGGTATATCATAAATGTTGATTCACTGCTTTTGGGATTATACAAAAATCCATTGATCCATGTTTCTCATGGCGCTCATAAATTTAAATTCTATATCCAGTGGATAAACATTTGAGATCAATATCAGAGTAAATATTTATAAAATTGTGTTTTTTTTTAAATACAGATTTTTTTTGGAATTAATTAAAAATTCCTACCTTCTAAAATCACGACTCCAGCACGCATAGATCACGGGATTCATTCCACTGTTGATCCAACCAAGCCACGTGACAGCCGCCGATACAATTTCCTCCTGCCAAATGCACTTGCTGCAAAATCCTGACCACAAATTCACAACAAAAAATGGCAGCCAACAAACAATAAACACACCCATAACAATGCCAAGTGTTTTTGCTGCTTTCTTTTCCTTAGCAAATTTTGCCAATTTTCTCGATAGTGAAAAATTTTTGCCCATATTTTGTTTATTATTTAATCTTGCCGATGGTAACCTCGTCAATCCATTATTATGTAATGCAGTTAATGGCTCTTCTAAATCTTGTAAATCCTCAGGTGTACTCGATGCAGTACGAAATAAATGTCTTGCATCAGCATTTGTACCACCACCTCTATGTATTCTCAATGTCAATTCCAATTCACCCGATGCCATCATCACTTGTTTTGTACCCAATTTAAGACTTCTCGTTTGTATCACCGCCGCTCTATATATCCTATAATATGTAAATACCATAACAAATAATGGCAAATAAAAACTAATTGTCGACGAAAATATCAAATAACCCAAATGTTCAGTAAATGGACATTTATCCTTTGGCACTTCCTCAGTTCTAACAGCGCGCCACCATGCAATTGCAGGAAATGAAATTGCACTCGAGCATATCCATACAATTCCAATTAAAATAGCCGCCCTTCTACGACTCATACGCGTTGGATAAGTAAATGGATCAGTTATTGCCCAATAACGATCCAAACTAATTACACATAAATTAAGAATTGATGCTGTCGAAAATAATACATCAAGCGAACGCCAAACATCACACCAATCAATTGTAAATAGCCATCGATTTTCAAGTACCTCATAAATTGCACTAAATGGCATCACCACTAAACCAACAAGACAATCGGCAAATGCCAATGATGTGACAAAATAATTTGTCGCCGTATGCAAATAACGTTCACGTATTACCGCCAATATTACGAGCATATTACCAAAAACAGTTGCAACAGAAAATAAAAGTAATACCACAGCTAAACCAGCGCGATCTGTTGCTAAATCCCATAAATTATTATTATTAACATTATCAACACTCCATGGTGTATTATTTCTATTAAAATTACTACCACTAACACTACTATCACTGATGCTTGTGCTATTGTAATAACTTCGATTTAAATCGAGTTCATTTAATATTGGTGCCTCTTGGTCGAATCCTCCAAGTAAATAGACCTCACTCTCATTCATCTTAGTTGTGAATCTTCCACGAGAGGCCAGTCGATCTGCTGATCGAGCTGCTTCTTTCACCGCACCACTCCCTTTACGTCACGCCAATTCCTTTTTTTTTTTTTTCTTCTTTTTTTCTTTCTATTCTCCACAATTTTTTTTTATTCTTCCTCGACCTTCTTTCACTGCACTTATCGATTTTTCAATCAGTGATTCGATCACTGATTTTCTCTCCATTCGTTTTCGTGCTCTCTTCTGTTTTCGCATTGTTTCTCGATTACTCTTGCACCACTTTTTAAAATTAAAATACCCCTCGTACAAAATTTGATACTTTTTTCGATTTAAAGAATTAAAATTTATTTTTCCGATTTAAATATGTTAAAAAGTATTTGTTTATAATTTTTTCATTTAAAATTAATTTTTTAAATTTTGTTTTTAGTTTAAAAATAATTTTTCCCAACAGTTCAATTTTTTTTTAATTTAAAAGCATTTTGTCGTTTAAAATTAGTTTTTTAATTTTGTTTTTAGTTTAAAAAGAAGTTTTTTTTTGACAGTTCAAGTCTATGATTTAAATAGTGACAGTTTTTTTTTGTTAAACAGTTCAATAACAGATTTTTTCTCTTTTGTAAAACTTAATTTTTAAATTTTGATAAATTAAATTTTTTTTCAATTAGTCTTTCTATTATAAAATTAGTCCAATATTTTTGCATTATATTTAAATAATCTTTAGTAAAAAAATAATAAATATTTTGGATATATTATATTTTTTGTTAAAAATAATAAAATATTAATCATTTTTTTTTCTGATTATTATATTTTTTTTCCTTTTCTAGTATAAAATTAATTCTCTAAATATAAATAATTTAGTAAAAAATAATAAATATTATTTCTCTAGCAAAAAATAAAATATCAATCTTGTAAATCTATGGTAAAAGATATAAAATAATTAACATATCACCAATTTTATGGCGAAAAATTAACCATAAATGTTAAAGAAAAAAAATTTATCGCTTTTTTCAAAATTTAATTCATCAAAACTTTAATTAAATTGTAGCAAAAAAAAATTAAATATTTTTTTTATAAATATAATTAACATTTCATAGAAAATTAAATAATCTCTTTTTAATCGATAATATTTTCTATAATTTAATGATTTTTAAAAATTTTTATGACATTTTCTTGTGTTTAGAACATTTTTTTTCCAACTATTAAACTGTATTTTTAGCAGTTGATTATTTTTTTTTTATATTTAAATATTTTTTTTTTTAAATAGAAAATTCAACAGTAGTTGTGGGATTTAAGTAATGTGATGACAAAAATTCACTCTATTTTTGCCATATACAACTTCTTGATGCACGATTTTGATATTCACTGAATGAACTAAACTCACTCGCATTTTTACACAATGGTTGTGTAGATGGTGGTAGAGGTGGTGGCGACATAGCTTTATATCACACACTTCCGGCTTCGTAAGGGCATGACGAGGGTATAAAATTCCGCTATAACCTGAAACACAGAAAGTGCTTATTTAATTTAATGCAGAGAGAAAAAGATTTCGCTAGGACAACAAAATTTATGTTTGCTTAACCACAAAATTTTTTTTTTTTGTAAAATATTTTTAAAAAAATTGTTTTCAAAAATAATTTTTATAAAATAAAAAAAAATATTAAAAATTTAATATAAAATAAAAAAAAATATTAAAAATTTAATAAAAAATATTCAATTATTTTCAAAAATGTTATTATAATTATCGTTCATTAAATAATACAAATAAAATAATATTTTTATTATAAAAGCAATTTTTACCGCAAAAAAGAAGTTCTCATACTTTCATTGCATATTATGTATATATATATATATAGAGGTCCAGAAAATTTTTTGCATCAAAAGCTCTCCTTTTATATGGCAAAGAGAATACTTTTCTCATCACTTTGCCTTAAGAAGATATCTTTTTGACTGAAAAAGTTTAAAGACAATTCTCTTATTTCAAGGATACCACTTGTTTAAGTGCACTTTATGCTTCTCATAAAATAAATTTTTTTTTTTCTCATCAAACCTTTTTAAACAATAATTATATTGTTATTCAAAAATTATGTATTTCAAAAAAAATTTAATACGGCAATAAAAAAATTTAAATATTTAAAAATTGAAAATAATAAAAATTTAATAAATCAAATAATAATAAAAATTTATTTATTTTTATCTTTTTGTTAATTAGATAACTCAATATAGGGGGCAGTTTTAAAAAGATTATTCTATTCTTGATTTATTTTTATCACAATATCACATCGATATTTTCGAGAGTTTACATTTCAATACGCGAACAAACATCCTAGATTAAAGTAGATCATTAATATGGATACTTTTCATATATTTGTGTATCTAACAAATAATTATGTTTGTACTAATATTGACGTTAAATATTAAATATATATATGTATACGACTTTATAAAATTTTGTGATTTATTTGTGAAAATTAATTCCATTGCATGAATAATAAAATTATTGTATAAACTTTGTATTATTACACAATTATTATATTTAAACAATTTCGTAATAATTGAGAATAAAATAATATTAACAGATTGAAAATGTCACATGTGCAAATAAATACACTTAAACATCGAAAATTATGTGCTTTGTTTACATTCATTTTGATGTTTAACTGACATTGCTTTGTATGCAAATTACCCCCAAGGCTATGCAAATTTATTAGTATTTTATTCATTTCAAGAATTTCTTGTATCTCTTGGAATAAATGTATTTCAAAGAGTACAATAAATCAAATAAATGATTTTGCAATTAAAAAAAAAGTGCAATAAATTCAATTATTTTGTTTTAAACAAATTTTTTATTCATAAATTAATTTTTACCAGAAAAAAAAATTGTAAATTTTAACACATAAACGAAATTGTATTATTTTTATTTTATCGCGCGTGTGTTTTTTTAACACCAAAAAAAAAAAAAAAAAATAGTCAATACAAGAAGCATAAAATCTGCATGACATTATTTGTAACGACATTAAGCATAAACGTTTTCATATTTACAATACACACACACACGTTCGATTGTCCATTAACCTATATTGACCTCCAATATTGCAGTCATTTTTCAAACTCATTTTTCGTATGAAAAAGAAAATTATTATAATAATGAATATTCTGAAACAAAATTTAAATACACGAAATTTTGTATTTCCATCGACAAATAATTTTCAGACTTTAATTTTGATAAATTCATTAATATCCATATATATATAATTAATGTTATTATACAATCAGGTGATAAATCTCAATTTAAATTAATCATCGATCAAAGACAATTTCTTTTATTGATTTTGGATTCATTAAAACAAACACTCCAATCAATCACAATAAATTTTTTATATTTTCTTATTTATAAATAGATAAAAATAATTTCTTTTTGTATAAAAATTTACAATTTTTGTAATTTGTTTATACTAAGAAATAAGATTTTTGATCCGTCTGACTATTATTATACTTTTCTACATAAAAAATAAATTGCAAAAAAATATTAACATTATCTTTCCATCGTATTAAAAACTGGAATGTCTGACTATTGAAAAAATTTTCTACTTAAAAATATACTTTGCAAGAAAATTGTCTGACCATTGTCGGTCTTTTCTACTTAATAGAAATTACTAAATAGTATTTGCTACTGAATGGTAATTATTAAATAGTAATTTCTAAATAGTATTTACTCATAAATGGTAATTACTAAATAGTATTCAATACTAAATAGTATTTACTACTAAATAGTAATTACTAAAAAGTAGTTACTAATAAATAGTAATTACTAAATAGTATTTACTCATAAATGGTAATTACTAAATAGTATTCAATACTAAATAGTATTTACTACTAAATAGTAATTACTAAAAAGTAGTTACTAATAAATAGTAATTACTAAATAGTATTTACTCATAAATGGTAATTACTAAATAGTATTCAATACTAAATAGTATTTACTACTAAATAGTAATTACTAAAAAGTAGTTACTAATAAATAGTAATTACTAAATAGTATTTACTCATAAATGGTAATTACTAAATAGTATTCACTACTAAATAGTAATTACTAAAAAGTAGTTACTAATAAATAGTAATTACTAAAAAGTAGTTACTAATAAATAGTAATTACTAAATAGTATTTACTCATAAATGGTAATTACTAAATAGTATTCACTACTAAATAGTAATTACTAAAAAGTAGTTACTAATAAATAGTAATTACTAAATAGTATTTACTACTAAATAGTAATTACTAAAAAGTAGTTACTAATAAATAGTAATTACTAAATAGTATTTACTACTAAATAGTAATTACTAAAAAGTATTTACTAATAAATAGTAATTACTAAAAAATAGTAATTTCTAAATAGTAATTACTAAATAGTAATTACTAAAAAGTATTTACTAATAAATAGTAATTACTAAAAAGTAGTTACTAATTAATAGTAATTACTAAATAGTAATTACTAAATAGTAAATACTAAATAGTATTAACTACTAAATAGTAATTGCTAAATAGTAATTGCTAAATAGTAATTGCTAAATAGTAATTGCTAAATAGTAATTACTAAAAAATAGTAATTTCTAAATAATAATTACTAAAAAATAGGAATTTCTAAATAGTAATTACTGTTATATAAAGTATAAAAATTTTGTTAACAAATTACAAAAATTTGATATAAAATAAAAAAAATTGTGAATAAAAAACAATTTTTCTTAATAAAAATAACTAATTAATTTTCTTTTTTTTCTAAAACACATATTTCTCCCCCGACAACAGTTTTAATTTCCGCATGTTAATTAAAAATAATACCTGTCGAAAACCAACGAAACAACGATGAGATTAACGTAAAATCAATGGACTTTTCAATCGAAAACCTATTACTATTATTGTTCTCATTCGCAAACATTATATGTGCCAATAAATTGATTCATATGATTATTATACCATTGTGATCACACGGGCCATCACATGACGTTTGCGGAACACGAGGCAACGAAAGAGTTACAACTCTGCCGAATTATTATTTATTATTATTATTATTATTATATATTATTATCATTATTGTTATTATTGCTGCATTATGTTTTTTTTAAAAATACATTAAATTATTATTATTTATCCAAGAGAAAATTTCTAATAAATTTTCTCCCAATTACGTGTTTATAATATAGTACAACCAGTATGAGAAGTTATGAGGATAGAAGTGAAGTGTTAAATTTCAGTGATGAAGAGAGTATAGAGATGAGTTGCAGAGAGAAAAGTGGTTACTCATATTGTATCGACTCGTCGACTATACTGGCGCCAAGTTCTCTCTCTCTCTCTCTCTCTCTCGGCACTCTGAGTGATGTATAAACCTTTCTATAGTTCTCTCGCGCGCTTACCCCCCTTCTTTCCACCTGATGATAAATATCATTCGAGGAAAACAGCCCTCAAGGGCAATCACATACAGTGATGATTGCTTCCTCCAACTTGAGAAACCGAAATGCCGCGCTGTCTAAAACTTTGAAATGAACTTTACTATCTTGATTGATGCAATGGCAAATGGCTTTAAATTCCCTTGTGGTTTTTCAAGTTTTAACCCGTTTTGTATATATGGAACTTCAATTACATTCACTTTTATCGATTGAATCAAAAGTGATTTTTATTCATTTTATCAATTTGTTTAATTAATTCTAACGATCAATTACATTTTTTTTCATGCTTTGGCGTCTGTCCGTCCGTCCGTCTTACACTCGTACAGTTGCCAAGGTAACTGTTATCATAGCAACCGTTTCTATAACAACTGTTACCATGACAACTGTTACCATGACAACTGTTACCATGACAACTGTTACCATAACAACCGTTATCATGCCAACCGTTGCTAAGGATTTTTTTTTCTTACACTGTGAAAAATGTTTAGTCAGAGCAACCAAAATTTGATTGGGCGAACAAAAAAATTTTGTTGGTATTTAAGCAACCAAACTATTTGTTTGAGTCAACCAAAAAATTTGGTTGAGTGTTTTTTGTTAGCATAACAAAAATGTTTGGTTAGCTCAACCAAATTTTTTTTGTTAGGTCCACAGAAAATTATAAGGTATTAAAATAAGCTGCAACGCTTATTATTTTAATCCAATTTTGCTTATTTTAATACCAAAATCGATTAAAATAAGCAAAATTGGATTAAAATAATAACCGTTGCAGCTTATTTTAATGCCTTTTAATTTTCTGTGTCAACAAAAATGTTTGGTTGATCAAACAAACAATTTTTTTTGTAAAATTAAAAATTTTATTCCACCTTATTTCTTTTCTTTTTATTTATTTATTTTTTATTTATTTCATTATTTATTTATTATAAATTTAACATTGAATTTATATTTATCCAATTGAAATATTTATGGACTTTGAAAAATCTCTCTGGGATCGAACCTCTGTTTTAAAACTGAAGATCGGGAGCTCTGACCACTGGACTACCCGCATCCTTGTGAGA